TAAATGGGTCAGTTTTTCTCATACTTACTCTTTTTCACTGTTTGACTTGATCAAGACTTTTCTAAGATTTTACACAACAAAATAGGTAAAAGTGCGTAACTTGTACTATTATGGTAACGGGTCAATATCGGTATCGGTCAATATCGGTATCGGACATTTCTCAAAGTTGTAATATCGGTATCGTATCGGAAGTGAAAAAGTGATATCGGGACACCCCTAGTATTTTGTGAATCACCAAATAGTTTTTATTGAACATTTCAGAAAGTAGTCACGGGGTTGACATTTACAACTGATTACCTGATTCAGGATGGCCAAAGACACTGCACCTAACGTTATTTTCAAACTTTTTTAGGGGGTGRGAGATTATGTATTTTCCAGGCACATAAGCTGCGTTTCTATTGACCATGAAAATGCGCAAATTAGAATTTCGAAAATAAATTTGCTCAATGGAAACACATCAATTTCGAAAAAAACTTCCTTTTTTCGACAAAATGTTTTTGCCCTAGGATGAGGTGGTTTTTCGGCCATATTGAAGTTGGTGTTTTTTGCAAAACTGCAATGGAAACACTTTTTTCGCATCACGGGAGTCACGGGATCAACAACCGTCTGTTTCTACTGGCTAAAAAGACGACGATGAAGAAGACAACAGGAAGTAGAAGTAGTGAAATCAACAAGGTTGTAAAAGAAATTAGTAAACTCACAGACTACAATTTCCTAAAAACAGCATACGTAGCCACTCCCAAGTATAAGGGCCTGTCACTCGAAAGCCTCGATAAGATGCCGACGTCTCCTCTGATGGCTGATGATGAGCGCTAGTATTGTGGTAGCAATATGCTAAGTGTTTCCATCCATTGCTGCCATGTTGACTTTTCTTGAGAACAAATGTACTGTATTCACACATGACTTTAATAGCATTTCTTACYTAATGGAAACACCGCAATTGCRAAACTGTGTTTTTYGRCRTTAACAGAATATCGACAAAGTTTTGTGCACATTTGCAATGAAAACGCAGCTATAGTTCAGTTCTATATGACATCAAGTAGCTGCTACATTMAGTTGTTATGAAAATGATGTATACATAWATCAAAAATAAATTTGACTTTGCRTCATAGTCTATCTGAACAACTTGAAATTTGCCTCTGCCTCTTTAAAAACTTCCTACCATTTCTGACACTCCCACTTCACTAAGTCTTCACAGCAGTGATTTGGGGGAGGGGTGCTCTGTGGGGAGGAGCTAGGTACAACAGGCAGGGCTTTGTACCAACAAATTTGGCAGCTCCACATGGCTAACACAGGGCATTCAAGGATTTCTCAAACCTGCATGAACGAGTCAAAGYAACAYTCTGGGTATTATAAAATTATATAAAGCGCAAAAAATTTATCTTGCATAAAACTCCCACTTTAAGTAAAATGGCTACGTCTCATAAGATTTTAAGTTCAAACTTCGGCACGAAAAGCAGTGACCTGTTTGCATTCCTTCAAAGAATGTTAGGCCTTTAAATTTGTTCATTTTAAAGTAAAAAAAAAAGCAGAACTTTGAATTTGACTACAACCTGACAGATACTTACAATATAAAATTGTTGTAATAAATGCTGGAAAAAAAACACATTAAAACGGTTTGATCTTCTTTGTGCATAGCCTGTCCCTGAGAAAAGCAACACAACTTTTTTYGCCATCTGGCCACCAGATGTGCGACAGCTTCCTCCGGTCTCCTCCGTGGAGATTATAGTTTGCATGAGTCTACTTCCCAACATCAGACAGGAGATAGCACACAGTAGAGGAGGACGTCCACTGAAAACGAGACGCTTTATTTTTTTCTTTTTCTCTTTTGGTGAATGCCAAGCAGTCAGACACTCTGATTTCCCGTGGGGGGTGTTTCCCACCGTCGGGGGGTGGGTGACGGAATTCCAGAGAGGAGGATTTCTTTTTTAGATGTTTTGCCAAGTTCTCACACTCTCCTCGGACCATGGCGGAAAACAAGCAGCAAACAAACGGATCTGGGACTCCAGAACGCCTTTTATCTCATGCGTAAGATGTCATATTTGAGTCGATTGTTACACTTTGTAGATTTTATTTTATTTTTTCCACCCCTTCTTTTTCTTTTGGTGGCCACAGAACTATGGCAACACAGATGGTTTTGGTATGTGGCGAGAGCAGAAATAGATTTGGGCAGCTGAAGCAAAGTTTTCTTTAAAACGTGGGGTTTTCTTTCACTGAACTTGGGCAATAGTTTAGCCTTCTTTTGCTTTTCGTGCGTTCAACAAATTGTCTAGAATTGTGCTGCTTTGAAACTACAAAACATTAAAACTGCAAATGTTTTAAGTGTGCCAGGACACAAAGTAACAAATTGATGTGCGGTCTTTGCTACTTGTGAGAGGAGAACCTCTATTGACTCAAAAGCCTTTCTGAGTACAAGGTTGATCTGCCCACTCACCTCCAGACACAACAACTAGGAGGGTAGCTGTGACTCACCCACCACTTTTCTCTGCACAACAGATATATGTAGAGGTGCTTTAAGCTCAGATGATTAAAGTCAACCATTTCATTCATCTGAACTGTGTGACTGTATGACATCAAGTAGATTTTGATGTTTAATTGACTTGTGGGCTTTTTCAGCACAACAGTTTGCAAGACAGGCTGCTTCTCATGATCTAGTTTATATTTTTGCAATGGATTTGTGTATTCAGGCGTCTATTTCTGTTTGCGCTGAAGCTTCCTAACCAGCTGCATGTTAAAACAGATGTTTCGGCGCAGATTTGCTCCAGACTGTTGGGGTTGTCAGAGTGGTTGTCTGTTTATCTGCAGAGCTCTGCAGAAGGCTCGGTGTTTACTCAGATTAGTGGAGATTTGGTAGAAACTTGTGTCTGGCTTGTGTGAGCCTCGGAATCGCTTTTATGGTTAAAATGTACATATTTTCATAGTCAAGCAAACACAGACGCAAAGTTAATGATGTTTGTAAATTGTAAACCTAAAGTAGTCTGCACATTTTCTTAAGATCAATCATTTGCTGCTTTGTTTTATCATTTGAATACATATTTAGGGCTTAATTCTGGTATGAAAATGTCTGAAAAGAAAAAAATATATATACTGTATATAGTTGGTAGCTATGAATGACTTTAAACATAATAGGAGAAGATATTCTTTCCCTTATCAGTAGCCTTGTAAAATGACTCACTGATAAGAACAATTTGTTGTTTTTGCAGGTTTTCTTCCACCTAGTTTTTGTCTCGTCTTGTGTTTAAACAAGTCTCTTATCTTATTTCTCAGTTTTTACATCTGAGATTCCTCTCTTTGCACCATATTTCTTCCTGTCAGGAACGACGGCGGAGGAAAGCTGATGAAAACTTGCTTTTCCTATTTAAACCCAAGGATGTGTTTCAGGGTCCAACATTAAACAAGATGTTATTCAGTTGCTTTTATCTTTTTTGTTCAACCTTGGCTGTATTTAATCGTTTCTATCAAAAAGCATGACAGTATTTCTGAGTTTCAGTACTTGTAATTTCATTTGGAATGTTGGATTAATATTTTACACCTACTTTAAACTTCACAGGTATTGAATAAAAGGTAAAGGTTCACCTTTATATACTTTTTCAAAGCGTCGCTGCTGGGCCTCCTCCTCTTTTTTTTCCACATACATTTTAAGATGTCARACATCCTTTAAAAGGTTTTGCTGAGGTCAGGTTTTTGGTCACAGGCAGAAAGTAGGCGAGAAAATATAAAAAAATTGAGAAATTAGATGGATTAATAGGATTGTGGCAAATTATTTTAGTGAAAAACTCGGTCAATACTAATTTGTTTATTATGACCCCCGCACGCGAAGCGTGAGTGGGAGTCAAATTGTTTTCGTACTGTTATTTATTAATTTTTTTTTCAGTGATGTTTGGTCAACCGTAGCACAAAAACGGCCGCACCAATCAACATGAAATTTGGCAGGACGTAGATGAGTCTGACCTACACTGCGCCAGCCAACAGTTTTACGATAGACCCCATATTTGAGGAGGGGGCTCCATCCAAAAAGGGGGTGTCTGGATATGCAAAAAGGCTTATAACTCAGAAAGTGTTAAACATAGAAACTTCAGATTTCTTTTGTTGTTTAGCTCTGATGAAGCTCTATCCATCAGGCCCACCAATCAGTGCCCCCCCCAGACCCCCACTTTATTTGAAAAAGGGGTATCTGGACATACTAAAATGGTTATTGCTCAAAAACTATTAAACATAGGAGCTGTTTAGCTGTAGGTTGTTTAGCTCTGATGAAGGGCTATCCATCAAGTCAACCAATGCCCCTACCCCCCCAAAAGACCCCCACCCAAACCACTACAATTTTGGGATGCACCTAGTAGCATGACATTTATTAGGAATAAAGACTTCTGAGTTCTGGTGCATTTGTGTGTGCGGGGGGGTCATTATGTTACCACTATGTGGTGTCTAGTTTGTTTACTGTTCAGTATCAGATTTCTTGTTTTCATGTGTTTTTTCANACATTTATTAGGAATAAAGACTTCTGAGTTCTGGTGCATTTGTGCGTGCGGGGGTGATTATGTTACCGCTATGCGGTATCTAGTTCCCTTAATTATAATTATCTGTGCAGAATTATACAAGAACTTAATCGTTCTTTTGCAAAACCTCTGCAAGCAGAACCAACTTTTTTTGAAAAAGTTATTTATTTATTTTTTTTACATGAATGTGATTTCAATTTTTCATACAGCGTGAAAAAACCAACGCATTTTTTAAATCACATCATTGTCGATGTGTGAGACATTTCCTCCAAGTGTCCTTTTACACCTTAAAACTCTTTTCATGTGTTCTCACACTCCAAATATACAGTTATTCGGTGTTGCCGCTGTGTGCATACTTTTAAGTTTATATGCGAGTGGGTTTGTTTCCTGTTTCTGAGTCCGCTGCGATGTCATTCACAGCAGCGTGTGGAGCATGGGTACAACTGCCAGCGCTGCACCCCAACCTGTTTATGTAGCGTCGCCGCTTGAGAGTGTCCATGGCAACGGGATGGCAGACAGCAGGCAGTCTTTAAGTATCAGTCCCTTCCCTACGGTCAGCATCCATAACAGCAAGGCCAAGTCCATTATCACCAACAAAGTTGCACCGGTCGTCATCACGTAAGTTCCTCCTCCAAAGTGCGTTCTCGCAGTTTGGTGTTAATTCTGTTTGATCACCGCAGCAGCATCCCCCTCAACCCTTAGGCGAAATGTTTGCCTCTTTTATCATCTCTTTTGTCACTTTAGGTTCAGCAAACACAAACTGGTGATTGGACTGACCTTTTCTTTTTTAAATCTTGTTTTAAAGGTATAATTGCAGACAAGAATTCCAGATTCACGATGACATCCTCAAGGCCAACTACAAAGTTGGTCGGATATCGGACTCCATGCCTGAGCACTACCTTGTGAAGGTAAGGACAAATTGCAACCTTATTTAGTTCCGACAAAGCACCACCAAATCACAGAAAGTTGCTGAATCAGCTCACTTGTCTTTATGTTGGCTCTTTTCACATCTACGTGTCCAAATGTCAGAGTGGTGCTGGAACATTGTCATGCGTTATTTTATGAACACGGTCAGCCATTGAAACAGAACCTTTGTCTGCCCCCRTTGAGACTTTGATCTGCTCTGTCACTTCTGCTGTGATCGTTTCAACATTAGGGTTAGCCCACAGCTTCTGTTTATATGTGTGAAAAGGTCAGATATATATTTTTTTACCCAAGAACATGTCTATAAAAAGTGTATTTTCCTCTTTGTTCTGACCACATCTACTCAAGGCTTTGTTTTTGTGAAAGTGATTAGTTTGTGCAGCTGAAAAGTTGGTTTCAAATCTGCTTCAACCCAACATTTTGACTATTACGGCAGAAATGCAGACAATTCAACTCACTTACAAGGACTAAAATGACTTAACTTTAATATGCCTTTAAAAACTTTTCTATAAAACAAGGTGCCCAAACATTTTTGATGCGGGCCAAATGCAGTAATATAATACACGAAATACAAATACTTTTTAAGTAAAGTTCTTTATTTTTAACAATTAAGCTAGCAGCCAGTGTGGTGACCCACTTTTGGAGAAAGTCTGCCATATGCTCAAGTAGCAAAAGCTCATGGGACATTTAATAAATTGATAAAATATGAGTTTTTGTGGCCTTATAAAGTGTGAAAATCTACATGTGTGGTTAAATCTAATCTAAATATCTCTTGTTACTTGTATTTCATACTTCATGTTTAATCTTAATATATCAAAGATAAAGTCAACACCATGAGTAAAAACTATCTGCACTACAGTCTCTTATATAGTCACTGGTCCAATGGATGAAATGACTAAGTGGAAATACTGTTTCTACACAGAACGACAGGTTAGCCAAGTAATTACTCAACTGCTGGTGGGCCAAATCAAATGGCTTGGTGGGCCATATTTGGCCCGCGGGCCCCACTTTGGGCTCCTCTGCTATAAAATTTCCAAAATAAATCGAAACCTGTTGTAGAACTGTAGCCATTTCATGATTTTGGTATTTTTTATGGATTACTTAATAAATTTACCTCTCAGTAATTTACTCTTTAAAGTTTAAAGACTCTGGAAAATCTTCTACAGTTGTGGGCTACTAGCTGAAAATCATCACCAAGCTGAAAATCAGCCCTTGTCTAAATCTCATAACAGTTAAAAAATGTTGTTTTGCATGGCTTCCAGGCGCCAATCAGAAATGWCACCAGATGGCCCAAACAAATGTCCATCTTCTTGTCTGAAATTTCCTGCCCAGCCATCAGTGGCACAATAAGAGCATGCCTCTTAAAGTGTACAGTTAATTTTGCCATCATTTGTGCTAGTGTGCATAAAAAAACACACATATGACTCACTGCATCCTTTTTAGTGTATGCATGGCTTCYCTTAATGGACTTCAAAAGCAACAGATGCACATGGTGTATCATTGTGTTCAGAATAAAATTGCCTGTCTGAWATGAGAGTCCTCTTTGAGGTTATTTACAGATGGGTTGAGGTAGAAATGGCAGAAAGGGGGCATGCACGTATCGCAGCACACTTTTGTTGGATGTTAGAGCCGATAGATGCAACAWAAAGCTGAAATTACATCAAGTAAATTATTAAAAAAGCATATTCTGTTTTTAATTACTGGGTCAATGGATGTTCAAGACCTTTGACATTAAAGTTGGACAGTTTCTTTGTGAAAAATATTACTTGAAAAATCGCCTTCATAAATAAGTGACTTCAATTTTGAAATTTTCCTTATTGTTGTTGACATGATTGTACCCAATAAAGGTGAAAAGCAAGAGGTTGAACATGTTCAGACAACATAATAGCTGGACTGTTTCAAATGTGTTAGTTGCAAACTAAAAACTAAATTTTAGCTGTGAATCAGTGTTTTGTACACAAATWRTAAAATGTCAGGATCATGTTCTTGGAAAAATATAAATTACTGTTACATGTGTCTGCAGGGGGAGTACTTCATGGTTCAGGATGCGAACAGCAAAGCAGATGTCCTCAACACCACGAGCAGCTACGGAGCACCCAATTTCCGTCAAGTGAAGGGAGCCTACCCGCTATATGGGATGGGTCAGCCCAGCCTCAGTGGTTTCAAACAGGTTCTGCAGAAACTCCAAGCACAAGGACAAGAGGTTAAATCCTAATCTTTTGCAAATATTTAAGTTCTTTAAATGTCTCTTTTCCCTTTTATTAGAGATTTTGTAGCCTCTTTCTTGCAGTCATTTTTCTTATGCAGCAAATTCATGATTTTCCGGTAAAATCGAGCCCCTGTTTAAGTCGCATTTGGTTGCTGAACCATTCAAGCGTGTATCGCTGCACTTGCTGCACCTCCAGTTCACGCATACTTGCCAGCTCAGTTCTGTGACTGCCTTGGTCRTCGGTTTGGAGCGCTAACCGCATCACAAATCAATGTTGACTTCCCCCTCATTCTCCCACTTTCATTTCACTCGTGAAAGCGATGCAGGGAGAAGGTGTCTCTGGCCCGGCTTTAAACTGTTGTGTGAAAGGGGGCTGGTGTTGTCAGTAAATATTTGCAGACTCAAGGACTCAGAGGAGGCATTGGTTTAATCGTAAAACTGAGCAAACTTGTTGCCATGCGGGGTCACTAGAAAATACTGCACTAACAGCAGATAATATCTGTCTAATTGAAATTTCACCATTAGGTCTCCTGAAACATTTCGTATGACAACATTGTTTTTCAGGTATGGCACAGTCAGTGGAGAGAATGAATATATTGCTTGACACCTTTCCTGCTGTGCTTTTGCGAACAGGAGATAATATTCTTCTGCGTAAGAGAAGAGCCAGTGGTGTTTCTCCACAAGGATGACGACTTTGTGCCATACACCCCCCGGAGGAAGGAAAATCTCCATGAGAACCTTCATGGGCTGGGGAAAAAAGAGACAGGGGAGCACCTGGAGCTGACCATCAGAAACGAGGTCTCAAATATACAATAACTCAGTGTCTAAACAAAAGATTTTAACRCTATAATAATTACTAATAATCCCGTCTTCCTCAGCTTCACGACTTTGCCAAGCTCAACGAAAACGTCTTCTACGTCTACAACGACATTGAGTTCTTTAAAGACGAGCCCCAGAAGATATCGATCGCGTGTGAGGAGGACATCCACGTGACTGAAGAGGTCTATAAGAGGCCGATGTTCACCATGCAGGGATACAGGTTGTTTATATTGTCACATTAAGCCAAGTAGCTCACAAATAATTGCTTTGTTTTATCTAGGCTTGGGGGGTATGTGTCTTACGTCACGTGAGGTGAAGCACCAAATTTCYACAAGGCTGCTATGAAAACTGGGACATGAGCATTCAGGGCTCTTTTAGAAGAGGCCCCATAATATTACTGATGCATTTTCTGACTACCTCAGCTCATTTGAAAGACAAACTGGGGAAAGTGGTGCAGAGACACCACCGTCTGTTGTGCCTCATAACCTATGAGCAAGGTAAAAAACAAACAAGAAAACTTCAKAGCAAGTTAGTGACAGACGTTGCTCGTCGTTTCCTGAAAAGGTGGGCCGGTGTAGTGCTGACTGACAGCTTCAGGGACCAACCAGCTGCGGGTTTCTTAAGTCATACAAAYACAGCAGTATTTTCTAAAGGTTATACTGATACTTCAATCATATACTACATATACTTATATGAACWTGATCAATACTGCCCAAGTCTAGTTTTAATAGTTTCTGTAGAGGACGTAGGACCTAAAGATCGTTCTATCCTGTCAGTTGATGGATTGACGTAACTGTACTTCCTTTTGTGTGAATGTGTTTTTCTCAAAGACGAGTTCTGAAAAGGATCCACGATTAGTTGTAACATTACACTTTATTTGATAAACATAAATTTTAACTGTAAAATAAAGACTGTAAAAATACTGTAGGATGTTCAGTTTTTATCATTTTTAAACTGAAAATTTAAAAATATATTACACAGACGGGGCCATTTTATTTACACGCAAAGCATTCTGGGTAAATGATGACGTGGATAGGTCCTCGGTGCGAGGCTGCTAGCGAGCTATATCCACCATGAAGGTTAATCTTGGACAATATCTGACGATTGGCTCTTTTAAATAAAACCAGAGAGCGTTGACAGAGAGGAGAAGGTAGAAATGACTCAGTCTACAACTGAAAATATAGATGGAGGACAACAGAGCTGCTTCATGGAAGAAGAACCTCAGCTTAGCCTGTTTGCTTTAGCACTAGCCCCAACGCTATCACTATATATATGTATTAGCTCAGAGCCACACATTCTCCTCTCGTCACTGAGGTCCTCCATCCACATGACAGAGAGGGGAGCACAAAAATGACTCAGCTGCAACTGAAAATATGGATGGAGGACCTCAGTTTAGCTTGTTTGTCATGCTAGCACTGAGCTAATACATATAAGGCWATATAGCTTTGGCACTATCGCGAAGGCTAACWGGCTAAGCTGAGGTTCTTCTTCCATGAAGCAGCTCTGTTGTCCTCCATCTATATTTTCAGTTACAGGCTGAGTCATTTCTACCTTCTCCTCTCTGTCAACGCTCTCTGGTTTCATTTAAAAGATTTGATCATCAGATATTGCCCAAGATTAACCTTCAGGGTGGATATAGCTCACTCACACCGAGGACCTATCCACGTCATCATTTACCCAGAACGCTTTGTGTGTAAATAAAATGGGTCTGTCCGTGTTAAAATATATTTAAAAAAAATTACAAAACTAAACAGCTACAGTATTTTTACAGTCTTTATTTTACTGTTAAAATATATGTTTATCAAATAAAGTTAATCTTGTTACAACTAATCAGGAATCCCTTGAAGATATTGCTCTTGATGTTGACACGTTGTAGATGAAACATGTTGATGTTTGGAAACAAGTTGAAATTTCAGGCATTTATGTTTTTAAGGGACCATTATTGAGCTTGTCATTCAACTCCCATCCCATAATTCCTTGTCATACTAGTTTTTACCCGACTAGATTAGTAAACACAACAAGAGGAAGCTCAAGTCTTGAGGTTTTGTTTATGTGCAGTACGCTCTGACCTACATAAGGGGAATATTGACACAACATGGACTTCAGGTTTAACTCTGTGCCACAATCTGTTGTACTGCAGGTACTACAGATTACCACTACCAACAGAGGGAGCGCCACTGGAAGAAGACTTTGATGCATTTGTTAACATACTCAGGGTAAGCACTTGTAAAGATGTCTATCGTGGTCCAAGTTCACCAATTAAATTCCCCGTTTGGCTTWGCTTTTTGTGTTGCTATAGAAGTTATTTATGAYTAAAGTACCGGAGGGTATCTGGGTTCTCTCACTCTGATGGTGAGAAGGTCACACTGGCTTTATTTAACCCACATTAAATCCCTCCTATGTGCAGTACATCACCTTATAAATATAATATCTTAATAAAAGAGACCGTAACCAGTTTGTGTCTGTTCTTCAGTCATCCGCTCGGTCTGGTTTCTGTCCTGCCCTTCACTCATGCAGGATGTTTTCTTCCTCTCATTTTTTTGCCCTTTTTTGGCCTGACTTTCTGCAGCCGGTCGAGTTCCCTGTGATTGGATTGTGGTTCCCTGTCTTTATTTGTTTTTTGTTTTTTTTTATTATTTTTGGGGATTGCAGCTTTAATGTCAAACTTTATATTTTATATGTAAGTTGTTTGATAAAATGTTGATTAATCTATAACATTGAGTTTCAGAATGTGAATCCTAATCACCTAGTCTTGTCACTGGTAATGTTTGTAAACACGTTGCGAAAACTATGCTTCACATCCCTTCAAGATCCTTAGTTATGTGATTTTTATTTCCCTTTACAGCCTGTAACAATGCCACCTCTCTTCTCTCATGTTTTTTTTTTTTTTTTTTTGCATTGTAGGAGAGCCCCAGCTTGTCTCTGGACCACAGCACATCCCGGCAGCTTCCTACTCTGCTCTTCAGCTGCCAGGTGGGCGTCGGACGCACCAACCTCGCTATGATCCTGGGCACGTTAGTCATGAACCGCCTCAGTGGAGGCTCGCAGCCACCATCCCAGTAAGAGCTCCGCATTAAATAAATCTGCGAAACAAAGATCGCCACAAGTTCATTTTATTTTATTTGCCACGCTTGTGTAATAATTAATACAATACAATCCACTTGTTGAAACGTGACGTGAGATTTTTGTTCTGTGTTGCAGAGATGAGGAGGCAGCCACTTCAGAGCCCAAACCCCTATTTCAGGTCATTCAGTGTCTGATCAATAGGTTGCCTAATGGACAGCAGATCATGGAAGAGGTAATGCATCTATTGAGCATAAAAACATTAAAAAAAATATATGTACTGGAAAATGGCCACAAAAATAGATTTGGATTTAAGGGAAAAAAAAMMCCATAAAATTAGCAGAATGTTACAAAAGCAGCACTAAAATCAAATTGCTCTTAATTTCTTTCTATTTCTGCCACACAGCCAGAGTTCAAACAGTAGAAATCAGTTCCTTCAACTTACAGAAAATGAGTCATCAGAGCTGGCTATCAGGAACGAGCTCCATCTGACATTAGTAGCTGCAGCCTGGAGAGCAGCGGTGATAGAAGCAGAGCTAATTAACATAATTTTTTTCATGCATGTGAAATCAGGCAAAGGTATAGAGGTGCATTTAAGAGGCTGTTCAGATGTGCCATCAGCATGCACACTCGAATGTGTCTTGAGTGAGCACCTGTGGTCAGACGGCAGCTTTATATGCAAATAAACCTAGTTTTTGTTACACATCTGCTGTTCGTAAGGAACAAATAAGATGTTGATTGGTCTGTGAATGTTTAGTTTTATTTTATACCTATTAAGCTTTGATTTAATCCACCAGGATCATTTGTTTTAATATACAGGGTAAAGCAAGGGATAAATATCCATGTTCTTTTAAAGACATGTCTTTTTACTCTGGTTAATTTCCCTTTTTTATTTTTCATTTTTTGCAGGTTGACCATGCCATTACCATGTGTTCAGAAATGCACAACATCAAAGAAGAAATATATGAAAACAAGAGTAAACTTGAAGGGATTGGAGAAGATTATCAAATTCAGGTTAGTGATCATCTTTTTATTTTTGTCAGATTACAGCCCTAAATGAGTTGTTCTCAATTAAAAAAAAGGTGTCTGGACATTTTCAAAGGATGATGTTGATCCTTATCAATAAGGGGTTCTAAAATGCTTTTGTTTTTTCCCCATTTATCAAGAGAACAAAGCTTGACGTCTCTGACTCAAGAGCATGGACTCTTTACTGGAGCAACTACCACAAACAGATAATAAATTTATCTTTAAATCTCMTAGGGAAGCAGCACCAAAGACTACTTTCTCAACAGAACAATGCAGAGCCTGGAGCGCTACTTCTACTTGATTGTATTTAATGCCTACCTTCACGAACAGGTACATTTCTTT